TGTATGTTGCTTTAGGGATCTCCTTGGAAAAAGAAATCAATGACATTGTTTCCCTCACCAAGTACCATAGACATCAGCATATTTCCTATTCTAACAACAGTGAGTTTATCATCATTTAATTTTGTCTGTCTCTCTAAGTCAAAGACACCAATCCTGATATGTATCCCTGTTGCACAAAGAAAAACGCGCTTTTAAAACTTTCAAGATATTCTTAACTTCCTCAGTTTTAGAAAAACAAAAAAAAAATGATATTATTTTTATGAATAGACAAGCAAAGGCACTAGGGTATAAAAGGTACAAAGGTAACTCACCCCATCAAACCTCTTCCCAAAATTCCACCCTCCATCCCACAATAGGATCATATATAATGGCCAATGTCAATTTGCCACGCTAAAAGATATTTGCCAATGCAAATCCAGCTAATACCAATCAAAAAGTAAGAAAATGAAATCATTCGGGGTTTTCAAGAACAAAGATATTTAGTAAGGTGCAACGTGTAATCTTATATATATCTATTAAAAGGAAAGGGGTGGTCTCCCCATTCGCCAAATGGCAGTAATACCCTTTAATATATATATATATATAAATATATTAAAGATTTCTTATTGAAAATTCTCAAATTACAAGAAACAAATATAAGAAATCTTATATATCTTATCTGCCACCTGGTTTTTGGGTCGATGGTCCGATCATTTGGTTCAAACAAACTGCTAGACAGTTTTGTATGCCCTTAATTTCAATCTGATTTGATGTACTTTTGAYATTTAGTGTAAATAAATAAAGTGCATGTTTGATTCATGTTGTTTGGTATAATTCTGTGTAAGACCCTAGAACTGGACACTTATTGAAACTCGTATTAGTTTTAAATGTTCACAATCATGGGATAAGTCTGGGGAGATTTATCCTGCCAAGGCTGATACTGGTGTGCTGCCAAGTGTTGGGATGGCCTGTCTCGGCCACCAAGGTAAGACCCAAGGCATATGCAGTATGGGATTACTCGATTCCTTGAACCAGACCAAATTTCCAGTATTGCCCTGGACCTTTGAGACAAATGGGCAAAACTAGAAAGTTACACCTGACCCCTAGACTCGATTATAATACTTCACTAGGTGTCGGATCGGGCTACTTTGATATGCCAATCAGTAAGATCCTTAGCGGGGGTCAAAACCTGGGCATGTTGGGGCAGTCTGAGAATTCATCTGAGTGGGTGATCATAGTGACAGGATCAGCCCCTTTGTCGGACAAAGGTAATGATCGGGAATGCACTCTCTCTGATGGAAACCAAACTGCCAGCAGTTGATTTCAATCGTTGGAATTTTGTTTTGCAAAATTTGTATATAAAATATATATATACGGTTTCAAAATTTTTGCAAATGGTTTTAATTCCCAGGATCCATGTGAGTGGAGAAAGCATCACTGTTCCTTGCAGCCGAGGGAGAGATCCTCTCTTGCCCGGTAGTGCTTGATCATTAAGGGCTGAGAGGTTAAGTGTAAGGCCATTTAGGATAATACCTGATGGGCTAATCTTGCACCTGCCCACAGTCCCTAGGTTTTTATAAGATGGMTTGGCCCARKGACCACTTAATGTAAGTGTTGGGCCCATAGGGTCCATATGATGGGCTCAGGGGTTCACTGAACTTCTCAGTGAATTTGGCTAGGCCTTGTAATAAAGGCTGGGCTGAACCCATGTGGCTAGTGTGTAGATCAATGCTTGGGTCCCACGCCATACAAAGAAKCCCAACTGRGCMGCAGATTGGAAACTAGTTAAGCACTGAACACTTAATGGGCCAAAAGCCCATTTCGAACTGGGCTGATATGATCACCCACTTAAGGGGCAAATCTGAGATTAAAGTTAGAAAAAGGATTGGGCCTTTAACCTAATCCACTCTGGGATACCAAATTCAAATCAGATTTGAATCTGGTAACCTCCTGATAAGATCAGGGGTAAGCTAACATAATCTGTAGATAGGATTAAGATCATCCCCTATCCAAATACTGATTTGGATTGGTATAACTCCTAATTAGGAGGTTTCTTAATCAAGAAGAAAAAGAGGAGAAACCCTAAGCGAACATAATCAGAATTCAAACCTAGGGTTTGTGCGCAAAAAATCATCCTGCGAATTGAGATTGGATCTCATACACAGTCCAAAGAGAAGATAAGCAATTTCAGCCATCTTCATCTCAGGAGTTCTCCTCCAGCTGCCGCCATTTTTCTGACAAGATTCGATCTTTGAAGGAAAGAAATCAAGAAATCAGTTCTTGATATCAGTTTTGCATAAAGAACTAAAAAGATTTGGTGTTCAGAGTTTCCAGAGGATTCTTGCGAATGATTCAGCAGGAGCGAATCTTGGTGTCCTCTTTGGGCGTGAACACCAACTTTGGGAGATATTGCTTCTCCGGATCAAGTATAATCCCTCCCTTTGTTTTTGGTTTAGATCTGGTTCAATTATGGTTCAAGTAGGATCTTTGAATATTGTATTCTAAAATTAGGGAATATGATTCCCAATTGGAAGAAGGTAGGAAAATTTTTGAAATTCGCCCACCCATTCCGCAATCTTTATGGCGTCCATATGATGGATCCTACCATTCTTTCACAAATGGCCCGTTCTAACAACAAAAATTACAAGTAAAAAATCGTGGAACCATTATGACCACCAATTTTCGGGTCAAAGGTTTGACCATCCAATTCGAACGGACGGCCCATTCTAACAACAAAAATTACAAGCAAAAAATTGAGTGTGTAAGGCCCATTAAGCAGTATCATACATGTTATGTCATTCGAACGTGTAACTCATGCGACCCGAGAATGGAACCGTTCTTGCCACTGGTTTTTGGGTCAATGGTTCGATTGTCCGGTTCAAATGGATGGCCTGTTCTAACAACAAAAATTAAAAAAAAATAGTAAAAACGGCAAAAAACCATTAAACATGTCAATGATGGTTTGACCATCCAGTTTGAATGGACGACTTGTTCTACAACAAAAATTACAAGCAAAAACTTATGGAACCGTTCTAGTCGATGGTTCGACCGTCTGATTTGAACGGACAGCCTGTTCTTACAACAAAAATTACAAGCAAAAAATTGAGTGTGTGTGGTCCATTAAGTAGTATTATACGTGTTATGTCATTTGAGCATGTGACTCATACGACCCAAAAATGGAACCATTTTGGCCACCAATTTTCGGGTCGATGGTTTGACCATCTGGTTCGAATGAACGGCCTGTTCTGACAATAAAAATTAAAAAAAAATAAAAAACAACCAAAAACCATTGAATGGGTCAACAAGTCGACAATTCAACTACTCGGGGCAATGGGTCGTTGATTGATTCAATGGTTTTTTGCCAAGGACCGGGATTGGGGTAAAACAGAACTGGTTGCCTAGACGATTCCCAATTAAAAAAATAAAAAACGGCGGTTCGACCATCCGTTTCGAATGGATGGCCCATTATGACAACAAAAATTACAAGCAAAAAATCGAGTGTGTGATGTCCATTAAGCAGTATCATGCATGTTATGTCATTCGAGTGTGTGACTTATACGACCCAAAAATGGAACCATTCTGGCCACTGGTTTTTGGGTCAATGGTTTGACCATCCGGTTCGAACGAACGACCCGTTTTGACAATAAAAATTAAAAAACGGCCAAAAACCATTGAACAAGTCAATGGGTCATTGATTGATTCAATGGTTTTTGGCCAGGAACCAAGATTGGGATAAACTGTAACCGGTTACCTAGGCAATTCCCAACTAAAAATAAATAAAAAAGGCCAAAAACCATTGAACGGTTCAACGAGTTGATGGTTCGACCACCCGAGTCAATGGGTCATTGACCGGTTCAATGGTTTTTGGCCAGGTACCAAGATTGGAGTAAAATGGAACCAGTTCCTTGGACGGTTCCTAGGCCAAAATGTCTATCCATCCAAGTCAACGGTGATTCGAAAACCATGGTTTTTTATGCTTTTGGATTTTCACTATTCAAAGGTTTCTTCTACTGTGGGGTTTATTCAAGTGTGTGTGGTATGTTCCTTTTTTTTCATTTTCTGCTTTTTTTTGTGTGTTTGGTTTTCTTCTTCAAGATCCTCCAAAATAGTCTAGGGTTTACTACCATTTTATTTCTTCCCTTTTGTTTTTTCTTTGGGTTTTCTTGTGTAATGTTTTTTTTTTATTTTCTTAGAAGACGACTTGCTTTTTCTCTTTCTTTAATTGCATATATGTTTAGCTCCGTCTCAAAGCGGAACTTTAGACTCGATTTTCTAATTTTTTTTCCATGGTTTTTCCAGTTTGGTGGATTTACTACCAATTTGTTTCTCTGTTTAAGGTCACTTTGGATTTATTTTTCAAGGTTTTGGAATCCCTTGCTATGTCCACCCTTTCCATGACTATGACTACAAAGTTATTTCGTCTAATTATTGACATCTAGAAAAAATGACTCGGAAACAGAACCATTCTAGCCATTGGTTTCCAAGTCACCAGTTCGACCATCCAGTTTGAATTGATGGTCCATCTGACAACAAAAATTAAAAATTAAAAATAAAAAATCGCCAAAAACTATTGAACGGGTCAATGGGTCGACGATTCGACTGCCCCGGGTCAACAGGTCATTGATTGATTCAACGATTTTTGGCCAGGGACCGGGTTTGGGGTAAAATAGAACCAGTTGCCTAGACGGTTCCTGAGTCGAATGGTCCTACCATCCAGGCCAACTAGGAGTTCTCGATATGAATCAAATGACAGCTATGAAGTAGAACTCAAAACTATCACTATATGATCATGTTCATTTATATGAGATGCTTTACTGAAACAATATTTAAAAAAACGATCACATGAAGATCTCTTTTAAATCTTTATATAAGTTTCAAGACTTCAATACATAAAATTTCAAATTTCTTATTAAGAAACCATTATCTTTTTTAATGTAGCAAAAATAACAATATTAAGAAACCATTGTATAGGACTACATGAATAGCCAACATCATCATGTCATCATGCAACAAGGAAAACAGATAAAAGAAAGAAAACAAACCAACGACTTTGGTGAAGCAAGAGCACCCCCGTGTACTTTGTCTGGTTTAAATGTCAGCCGACGGTTTGACTAAGAGCAAAAAGCAATGGATTATGGATATGCACATCTGTTTGAGAATTTATTCTCACTCAAAAGTGAAGATAGAAAAAGGAGGACAAATAGGAACAATTAAACAACAGTATATAATAGCCTGCTTCTTTTTCTAAGTTACAATTTTTTGCTCAAGTCTAATGGCAATACAATTTGAATTTCACTTACTTGTATCCACTATCCAGGATTCACCAAATTCATAGGAAGTCTACAGTCTTCTCTTACTCGCACAAACAGGAGCGCCTGAGTTCCCAATTTGGGCTTGTGTCCTCTGTACAAGCATATATAGAGGATTATTTGGAGGAACTCACGAACGAATGAAGGAGAATTGAAGGAACTCAAGAAGCTTTTCGGAGCTGTGCATTGAAACAGATGTGAAGGAGAATTTGGGCTTGTGTCCTCTGTACAAGCATATATAGAGGATTATTTGGAGGAACTCACGAACGAATGAAGGAGAATTGAAGGAACTCAAGAAGCTTTTCGGAGCTGTGCATTGAAACAGATGTGAAGTCTGTGGATTAAGACTTGGAATCCTAAACCAACGCGACCGTCCATTCTTTCAATCTAAGAAAGCTATTGTCGTTCTTCTTGTCTGCTACAGATGTAGCTTGCTGCTCTACAATATTAGAGCTTCTGATCTAATAAATCATTCGGAATAGAGTGGGAGGAGGCGAGCATCAGAAAGACTATTTAGAGAAGAAGGGATTAGAATCAATTTCTTGTTTATTTAAATAGAAAAAAGAGCTCAAATGAATTGGATTTGAAAGAAAAAGCTAAAATCTCAAAGCCCTAACCTGTTGCAGTGGAATTATTGGTGTTCTTCTTATCAGCTACTTCATTCTTTATCTGGTTCGATGGGTAAGTGGAGAAGGAGAAAACGAAGTTGCTACTGTAGTAATTTGTATTTGGGTGTTGAAAGGAAAGAAAAAATATTGGTATGCCATAAATTATGGTCAATACCAAAAATACCCTTAGTGGCACGAAGTATAATACCTCATCAACAAGAGAAATAAACCATACTTGTTGTCCTCATATCATAATCCTTCAACTCTTCTTTTATTCCAACCTTTTCCTTTCCCTTATAAACCTTGTATAGACCTTGTTAGATCAACGAATCATGAATTTTGAATTGAATTTCCACAAATCAAAAAGTCTTATTTCCATCAAATTTATCTATCTTAAACCATGCATTTAAATCTTTGACAAATCCATACTCCAAAATTCTTGATTCCCACTACAAACCCAACACTCTAATACCACTTTTCTTCAACAATAATAACAAATCAAAGAAATGATAGCACCATAAGGATTTACATTATTCCATAAATTGCCTACATCAACCAGGGAAGACGAAACAAAATCAATTTGTGGAAAGGTCTTGATAGGAACTTTGTGGAGGAGAATAGTGGTTACAGGGAGGATGGAGCTTAGGTCTCAGATCTAAGATCTGGGTGAGAACTATATATGGCAGGAAGAATCTCTAAAAGCAAGAACCATTACAACTACTTCAGGGACTCACAAGGTGTGTGTGGTTATCGTCTTGTGTGCAGATCTCTTCAAGGACTCACAACTACTTCTAGAAAGTTCCTTTCTAGACTTACTTTTAGAAGGTTAACTTGATTTGTACCACCTGAATTGGTTAATGTGTCATCACATGTCCCTACGGAGGGCACAAACCATGACACCCTTTCCTAAGTTCTATGTGAGCATGCTTTAGTAATAGTAGCTTTGGAGACCTTTGATGGTTAGACATAGATAGTTCATTGCCTTTTGTTTCTTTTAAATTTGGATCTTGTCTATTAATCTTTAAAAATAAATGAGTTGTAAAGGTTACTTGTTCATCTCTTATTGTATTTTTTTTTTTTTTTTTGTGATGTACAAGCTCTAATTAGTAAATTAGTTCAATATATTATATTATTTGTGCACCTTTTCTTTTAGAAAGTTTTGTGGTGCATGGATTTTGGCAATTGGTTATAGAAAATTGAATATTATATAGTGGAACTATGAGATAAATGTATATGAAAGATGCATGGGTTAAGTGATTGTACATGTTTTTGGAACCCAAATAATCCACTATTTCAATTGAATTTCCAAATAACTTGTGAGATATAATTAACTTTTAGATCCGAATATGTAAGTTCATTTTAAACTTTGTTTTATATAGCCTATTTTAACATATTTTCTCTCAATTATTTTCCAATAAACTAAACATAGGAAAAGGAATATTCCCACTGTTTTTTATTATATAACCAAATAACAAAAAAAATGAAAATTTTACACTTTCATTCAAATCTTCCCACAAATCAAATGGAGCTTCAAAGTATATCAAATCAATTGATATAATTTGATTTAATGCATAACTTAAATGCTAAAATGAAATATGAAATTATAAATCCTAAAAGTCTCATCAATTAATTCCACTAATTTTGCCAAAGCCCTTACTACTTTTTTTGTAAGACCCTTGTTACCTTAAAGTATGATAATATAATGCTAATTGTTGTTTTTGTATACATGATTATCGAATATCACAATTTTTTTAACTTTCCTTTATTTTAAATGCTATTATTCATTTCGAAGTTGTTTAACAATGACTATAATCACTTCTATTATATGTATAAAATATGTATGGACTTTTTAATACAAACTATATAACTTTTTAGCTTAAAAATATTAAGGATACTCACAATAGGGCATTTTATTGCCACTATTTTTTAGCTTGAATAAATTTAAAAGCTTATGCTTTATTTTAATTACATGATCTTAAATAAACTTCTTCAATATTGATAATTTATTAAAGATTGATCAACTAAAAATCAAGCAAATCACCAACATTGATTTTTTATGCAGCGTGATCAGGACTCATAGTTGGCGGGAACCTACCTCCTAGCTGGTGACGGATGGTACCTGAGACGAAGAGGAAAGTGAAGAATTCCCGGGGAACTCGCCCGGTGGGAACACTTCGATGCCTAAGTTAGAACTCTAAGAGAGCTGTAGAGAATGCAAAGAGAAGAGCTAAGAGTGTAGATGGCGCAAGTTCAGTACCTTTGCTCCTTGGGGATCGGGGTCCTTTTATATTAGAGATCTACCAAATCAGGCGTAACCGCCTCTGCCGCAGTTGTTACTGCCAGGGCCGAGGTGGCAGATGCAGGCAGTCGTTGCAGGGTACGGACCTGACAGGCGTGCCACATCTTGCAAAAATAGCAGGCACGACGCCGCCTGACGAGGGACGTGGGAATAGCCTCCAGATTCGGCAGGTACTGTTGTCAGGTAGATCTTTCCTACAGGTTGCCGAGCTACCCTATACCAGGGTGCTGGGGGTGAGCCGAGGTGCTTATGCTTGAGGCGAGCCTTAGGCAAGTATGGGTAGGAGTATTAATGGTGCTGATCCGAAGTGCTTCCACTTCGGAATACTTAGCCACAGATCGGGGTGTTCCCTTCTCAGGAAGAGTTCAGGGCTCACTGGGAGGAGCTCGGGTCTTAGGAGGAGTTCGGGACTCCTCACTTGGAGGGAGCTCGGGGCGCTCCTCCCTTAGAGAGAATTCGGGGTGAGCTGGTTGTTACTTCCTGGCAAGTTCGTTACGCCGAGTTACGGCCAGGCTGTCACGCTGAGTTGTCACTTATGCCAGGTTGTGTCCACGTGTGCCGGGTGGATTTGGCTCGGAGCTCAAGCCTTCTTGTCAGGCAGCTTATTGGTCGGACCAGTTCACTGCTCGGCTCAATCAAGGGCAACCCAGGTCGCGTACAGTACACACGCAGACGTCACGCAATCTATGGACTCCGCGGACGTCAAAAAATGCGCTAAACCAATTTTACCTCGGGGGTTGCATAGCCGGTTTTCTTGAGAGCCGTCAGATCATCTTGATCTTGACCGTTGATGCCCGAGTACAGTGGCTATAAATAGTGGGGGTCCTGGGTCATTTTCTGCCACAAGTTCACTTAGCATTCATCTTGAGCTCGCGTCTAAGGTCTCCAGCTCGGGTCAATTCTTTCCAATTCGGTTGCTTTCCTTGGTGAGTCCCTGTAGCTTTTCTTTTAGTTTCCTTCTTCCAGTTCGTTTCTTTCCTTCACTATGTCTAGTTTCGATAATCAACTGGATGAGCCCGAGGTGGGCACCTCGGCTCAGGGTGACCCCACCGAAGTCTAGTCTCACAAGGTGCGGGAAGCCTCGGGTAATCTGGCGTCCACCTCTCACCGAGGTCGGATGCCGGATAGGTTCGGTCCTTATACCATGACCCTGGAGAGACTCCGACACCTCATCCGGCAATACAACCTACCTAGGGAGTATACCTGCAGTCTACCTGTGGGTAACTTCCCATGGGAGCACGGTCCTGACGAGATCGTGATCTTCCAAGAGCAGTTCATAGCCGGGCTCCGTCTTCCTTTCCACCCCCTTATCATAGAGGTTCTGAACCACTTCAACGTCACAATAGACTAGCATCACCCGAACTCCATTCGTAATGTGGTCGGGACCATTTCCCTCTGTTTTGAGTACGTCCTCCCCTTAGACTTAGATATTTTTTGTTCAATTCTCTCAAAAAAGAAGAGCGCTTCAAACGTTCTCCCCGAGCACAGGCGAGCCTACTACCTGTCCCCTCGCCCAAGTTTCAAGTTATTGTACAAGCTTCCCAGCAAAGTCTCGGCTTGGAAGTAGGACTACTTTGTAGTCCGGAAAACCGCAGGGTGGCCCTTCCTCACTCAATGGAGGGCGACTATTCAAGACCCCGGCGTTATCCTGGACAAGAAGACAAGGGAGACACTTCAGTCATTGGCTAAGCTCAGGTTTAATTACAAGGATTATATCGCCGAGAGCAAGCTCATACAGGCCGGCTTGAGCCCGGGTAGGTCATCCTACCTAGAGTTGAACATTTTACCTTAGTAGCTTGTCCCTTTGGGTTGCTAACACCGAGCTTTGTTGCAGGTCCCATGGAGGAAGAGAAGCTCAAGGGGGAGAGGCTTTTTAGCCATATGAAGGGGAGGAAGAAGTGAGCTGCCAAGAGAGCTCGTGTCGAGTCCCCGCAGGCCCCCACCTCCGAGCCCGAGCTTCCACAGGTTCCTACTTCTAAGCCTGAGATCCCTGATGTACCTCCGATCATTGATTTAGAGGAGGTCTTACCACCTCGGGAGCCCAAGACATCGGTAGAGCCAGCTCCAAAGGCAGCTGTGGAGCTCGAGGTCACCACCGAGGCCGCTGATGCAGCAGCTGAAGCTTCCGTCGAACCCCTTCGCACAGCCGAGAAGGCGATTTCCAGCTCGGGGAGTCAAGAGGGAGCCTAGAGTATCCTGATCCCACACTGCAGCCTTCAGAAGAGTAAGGGGGCTGTTTACGCTGAAGAGGTTTCCGAATAGGCCGACCACACTCCTGGTCAGCTCAGGGCCCGGGCTACCACCCACTCTATGGTGGTAAGATCTAAAGACTTCTTTTCTCCCCTCTTTTTTTTTGTTACCTCTTCGGTGCTAACTGACCTCCTCTTGTCAGGTGAACTCCGTTGTGCACGCCTTGACCCTTCAGTCCGAGAGGCACCTGAAGCAGGCTCTAGCTGCCAAGGACTCAGCTCGCGTAGTCCATACCGATCTGAGGGCAGCTTGCGACCAAATCTATCGGCTGGAGAGCGATGCTTCAGCTTAGAAGAACGTCATCGAAGCACTGATGGCGGAGAAAGAAGAGTTGGCACGCGAGAGGGATGGGCTGAGGAGCGAGGTGAACACGCTCAAGGCAGACAAGGGGGCCTTAGAGCTCAAGGTGAAAGGCCTCAAGGAGGATAAGGGAACCCTGGAGCACGAGGTGGAGTTCCTCAAGGCTGATATTGAGGAGAAAACCGAGATCTTCACCCAGGCCATAGAGGAGACAAAGGTCAAGGCCGTCATGGACTATGTCAACTC